ACCCATTTATCTCATCTTGCATGAAGAAGCCAGAAAGATGACAGATATGTGACCTCACTTGTGCTGAGCAGTTGCAGCAATACTTTACTGAAGCTTAGAATAAATTATCTAGAAAAACCAATCAATAAATCCATAAAATGTCTTCCGTCTAGTGAGCCAAAGGACGTTATTTTGATAAAGAGAATTTTTAAGTGAACAAAGTCTATTTATGATATCAGATGATGCTGTTCATTTGTACTCATCCCCTCCCTCCTTCCAATACACCATTTCATGCAGAGCACTCCAACTGCAACCCAAGAAAACACAGACTAAGTGCTTACAGGCCGCAGAACATACCTCTGAACCAGTGGCAACGGGAGGAAATTGAGGGTAGACGTCATATCCAGTCCGCAGTCCAACATGATGGTGGTGGATTTGAACTTGAGTACGTTGCATGGTAAGGTTGGATGTCCTGACAGGCAGTACTGAAAGAATACAAGGATGCATTACTCGTAACCTCTACCTACAGAGTCAACTCCTCCTGAAAATTGCCTTTATTCCCTTATTTGAAACACGTAGTTTCATGCACACCAGAATAAAACCCGATTTCCCATGAATCTGTGCCTCACAGCTGTGTGTGTTCATTGAGTTTTCTCCATAACAGGCTATTAAGGGGCAGGTTTTCTTCAGACAAGGTTTTCTGATCACAAGGGTTGAGAGGATGATACAACTTCTCTCTCCAATTTAGGACACATGTAGATTCTCTTTTCTACCAACCTCAAAAATCAGCTCCTTTAAAACTCAGTCCTACAGGCAGAACTGGGCTGGAATTGGCTAGCAGATTTCTAAATTACTTGGAGTAGAAAGGGAGGAAGATAATTCCTGCAGGAACACAAGTTTTATTTCTTTAACAAACCAGCCTAAGCAACCAAACAAGGTGCAGCCCACACCTGCTTGGCACAGATCAGCAGAGGAAGCTCTACAGGTGTGCTGCTGCAGCTCTGGGGCATGCTCCCATCTGCTTTTTGTCTTGCTAAATGCAAACAGGAAACACGAGGGAATGGACAACCCCTACCTGAATGGAAAGGTTTGTGTACTGAGAAATCCCAAATGCTTTGCAAGCTTAATGAGCCAGTAAGCAGGTTATGTACAGGGGCACTTCAGCATCATTGAGATGCAGTCACCTCTTGTATGGAGAGTGGCAAACATTTAACAAGGCACAGGAGCAGGTGAAGCTTTGAATAAGAAGAGAAGTGAATAAAAATGCCAGCTTTAAAACGTGGGATTAGAAACACATGTCTGAATAGAGCATGGCCATCTCTGCATGAGGGTTTCTCCTCTTTGAGGAGGGATTCTTTGGTTCTTCAGAGACTGCAAGAATAGGATATTTTGCATCTTAAATACAAGTTTTTGCATCTCCAAAGTCTGGGCATCTGGCAGCACAGTAACACTCAGGTGGTCGAATTTTAGCTTTTAAATTCAGGTTTTAGTCAATTAAAATGAAAAATATCAGTTGGATGGCCAGGCACTGCACTAAAAACAGATTCAGTAATTTTCGAAGTCACTTATACCTTATGCTTGCTTTCTATAGTTCACTCCACAAAGTGGAAAGAGGGTAGATTAATCATTTCATTTTCTACCTCTGCGCAGAATATGTTAACACAGGACTGCAATTGTCTGGATCAACAATTCCCAAGGAGTCTATTTACACACATTCATCAAAAACCTGTTTTAAATTATATTTAAATATTAAAAAAGCTACTGAGCCCCAAATATTCAATTAAAAATATCACAAATACTTTTGTTTTAAATTCACAAAGCCTTAATTATTAAGAAGCAGCATTACATTTTGCCTGCTGTTAGCAAAGTTTTAAAAAAAAATGTGAAAAGCCAAGCTGGTGAAGAAGTGAGTATACAAGTAAGGAATTCAGTTGTTTTATTCACAAATGTAAAATTCACATGTGAAATTAAGTTCTCATCAGACCAGAACTTTGGCAACTGAAGCTATAAATCCAAGTAAATAGAAAGAAATGAAGGAAAAAATATAATCTAAACTATTTTTGTAGCTTTTAAACTATTGGTAATTAAAAAAGGCAATGAAATATCACCACTTTTATCAGCAAAACACTTTCTTGCTTTTTAAAAAATCATGAATAGGATCGTGACCCTGACATCTACAAGCTAACTGGAAAATCTTCCTTTTTTTCTTCTTTAAAAGCATCTAAAATAATCTATATCTGTGGCTGTCATGCTGTGGTAAATGGATTCCTGGGAGTCAATGGACTCTTTTTACCAGATTGAAGTGACTAAAAAAAAGGAAAGCAATTCATATATGCTATACAGACATTTGCACAGGTGACATTTCTGGGCCTGTACCACCGTTAGAATTTTAGATTAGGAATCCAAGAATCTGAGTGTCTGCACTGTATATGTCTCTATACACACTATAAATGTGATAATTTCCACCCAGTTTATACCTGTTACTGTTTAAAACAGATCCAGAGATCCCAGTCACTAATATTCCTGACCAGACCAAAATGCAAATCTTTTTTGCTCTACGATTTGTTCGCTTCCATCTTTATTCCCTTGCGGCTCAAGGCTGGTGCCTCATCTATCTAAAAAACAGTTGTGTAAAATATGCCCGCCTCAGCTCAGAACTTTCTTGGCAGGCTTTGTAAATCGGATGAACGTTTGACAGAGCAGGGCACAAAGAGGTCAAGACGAGGGGCTAATTCCAGATGCTGAGGCCCTCACAGAGGCAGGCTCTCAGCAGACATCTGGTTCACACTGAGCACTCGCCAGCTCAGAGCCTCTCTGGTGATCTCATGGATGGCAATGTGACAGAGAAAAAGGGATGATGTCTCACGCTAGCAGCTCCAAAACATTCAAAAATTTTGCAGGTTAAAGCTAGTGCTTTGAATTCCAACCAAAGCCAAGAAATACCGCAGAGAATTCTTTCAGTATTAATATCACATGCTAGCTTAAAATCTAGGGGGAAATTAGCAATCTGATTTGCCTGGACCAAAGCACATCTGAATTTGTGGGAATCTAACATTTTCACTGGATTCTGAATCAAGTCTGGAGTCTGTCACCTTGTTCATCCAAATTCAAGCCAAATACATGAAAAAAGAGGATGAATAGCATCCAACTTCTGCCCCCACAACCCTGAGATTCAGGCACACCTCCAGACAAACATAAGATGATACAGAGGTCTAAAAACGTTAAAATACAGATTTCAGCCAGCTTGTATTTCCACTCCCCCCACCCCTTCTCCCTCTCTACCCCCATACAAGACTTTAGACATTAAAAGAACTTTGCATTGTCACTACTGTCTTCATTTAAAGATTTCTCAGCTTGCTTTCCCCCCCTGCATTATATCAGTCTCTACAATCACATCCAGAAGTGCTTAGCTTTGCAGTTTGTCCCACTGGTAGTATTCATCCACATACAGAGACTTAATCGCACACGTAAGATTATGCAGGATCAAGCCCTTCAGCCACCTGTCCACGGAATTAATTTTACATGGCTACACCATTAGATAGTGATTTACTGGAAGTCTCAAAACAAACCCAGAATACAAGTTCACTTCTATTTAGCTTCCTCAAGAGACACTGCTCAGGTGCAAAACTGAGAGACAACCTTACACTTAACAGTGGTATAACTTCCGGTTAAACAAATCAGACATTATGCTCATGTATTTTGAAATCTGCTTTGGTTTTCACCTCCAAAGAATTGGAGCACATTACGTGAAACTGGCAAATTTTTCCTGAAAAATACAGTAGTGGCTGAAGCCAAGGTCTCTGGAAATCTTAGTCGCAAAGGAAGATCTAGAAAGGAGATTAATAAAATGGGCAATGTATTTTCTGGGAACTTTCCCTTTGGAAGATTGTAATATCAGAACCGAAATATTTGTCTTTAGTATAGTGCACCCCTGAGAAGTTATTCCAGGCTTATTTTCTTATTAGTAACTACCTGTATTAACAACGTCCTGCCGATGGAAAAAATTAAGTTTATTGTGAGCCGCAGGGATTTATCAATATTCCTAGAGCAACCGAGTAGAAGCCACACGTACACCGGGCTAGCTCCAGCACTGCTCCACGGCGAGACTCGTGTTTTAGGAAGGCAGAAAAACATCCCCCTCCACCTCCTCCTCCTCCTCCTCCTGAATCCCACCCACGTTTCACCCGCCCCAAAACCCCCCCCACCGCCGCCGGGGGGGACGGACACGGCGGCAGCAGGCCGGGGCAGAACCTCCCGCCCGGGGCTTGTGCCCCTTCCCGCACCCCGGTGCCTGACCCCGACCCGCCCAGGCCTCCCCGGGCTCCCTCCCCTCAGCGCCCTCGGCTCCCCGCCGACCGTTTAACGGCCGCTCGCGTGCCAGGGCTGCTGAGGGGAGCAGAGCGCGGGGCCCGCCCTCTTCAATTTGCCCTCACGCCCGGCGGGGCTAAAGCTATTACCCCCCCCCCCCCCCCCGCCCCCAACTCCTCTCCCTGTCGCCGCGCCCCCATCCCCACACACTCACCAGCTTCATGCTTCACCCGACTCTATTTACTGGGACAATCCTGCCCCCACCTTCCTGCCCGGCCCACAGCACCCCCTCGAGGGGCATGATGGGACTTGTAGTCCCAGCGCCCCCCTCCCGCCCAGGATGAAGTAATGGCCGAGCCCTCCCTTCCCTCCCGAGGCATGCCTGGAGTTGTAGTCCGACCCTCGCTTCCCCCCTGCGTTCCATTGGCGTGCCGTGCCGCCGAGGCATGCTGGGAGTTGTAGTCCCCGCGCGGCGGCTCTCCCCGTCACCCTGGGGAGGGGGGAACTACAAGTCCCAGGGTCTCACAGCGGCAGCAGGTGGGAGCTCGGATGTTGATATCAACATGGCGCTTGTCAGACAGACAAAGACAGTCAGTCTGGTGTGATTGAGCCAAAAAAAAAAAAAAAAAAAAAAAAAAAAAAAAAAAGAGAGAGAGAGGGAGAGCCAGCAAGGAGGAGGGAGCGGCAGGAGGAGAGCCAGACGGGGAGGGGGCCCCTTGTCCTCGGGGGGCTGGGGAGGGGGGGGGGCTCGGCGGCCGAGGGATTTCCTCCCCCCTATTGTTCTCGTCCCTCTGCGCCCCCGTTCATCTCCCCTCACGCTGGGGCGGGGGGCGGGCGGGGGGACCCCCCCCACTCCTGCCGTTACATGGTGAGGTGGAGCCGCCGCCAGCACCCAGAGGTGAGTGTTGCTTGTGGGGAGGAGGAGGAAGAGGAGGAGGAAGGTGGGGGGGAGGAGGGCGAGAGCGGCGCCTGGAGGGGAGGGGGCGGGCGAGTGGGTGGGCTGGAGGGAGGGAGGGGAGCGGGAAGGGGGTCCCCCCTCAGCCGGCACCGCGGCTGCCTGCGGGGGAGTTTCGTCGCGCCGGAGAGCGGGTTTCCTCGCAGCGTGGGATGTGCGTGAGGGGGGGGGGGGGAAGCCGGGATGGGGGGTGGCCGGGGGCGGGCAGGGGCAGCCCCTCAGCCCGGGCGGCCGCTCGCTCGCCGGCGGAGTTTGAGCTTTTTGGGGTTGGTGTCGCGTCTTCTCGGCGCCCCCGGAGCGGGGGAGGAGGAAGGTGTCCTCGGGAGGCTGCTGCGGGGGTCTGCGGGAGGGCAGGGCAGCCTCTGGGTTTTAAAGAAGAGCCCTCCATCGTTGTTCCTACCATTTATTTATTTATTCTTTTTCAAACCCCCTTTTCCAGGCGTGGGGGGGGGGGGGACGGACGGACTCGTGGTGGCGACCCACTCAGTCTGGGTGGGTGTTGTTTTTTTTTTTGGTTTTGTTTTTTTTTTTTTTTCTCTGGGTGATGTTTCGATTTTTGTTCGCCGCTGAGTTTGGGGCTGGGCTGGGTGCGATCCCCAACGTGGCTGCGGAGGGCGGCGGGGACCCTGGTTCCCCGTCCCCAGGGTCCTGGGGGGGGGGGCTCCCCCAGCCTGGCCCGGGGCTCGGCCGGGGAAGGCAAAGGAAGGAGGGAGGCTCCGACCCTGCGGGGCTGAAGCCCGCTGCGCCCTGAGGATCGCGCCCGGCATCGATCTGGGGGCTCTGTCGGGGAGCTCTGCCCTGCCTGGGGGGGCTGAGGGGCCGCCGGGGGTGTTCGGGGGCTCCGCTCTAGGGGAGCCCCGGTGCTTTGTGCTTATGGAGGTGGGGGAAATAAGGGCCACGGGTGCCCCAAACCCCGCAGGCTTCAGGGCTGGGAGGCTGCGCGACGAGGAGGGCGAGAGCTGTTGCAGCTCCCGGGGCTTTGAGAGAGGGTTTTCGGGGAGGGCAAAGGCGTGAATCCGAATGGTGGCTTGTTGCTGGAGAGTTTAACGTGGGAATGGGTGGGGGGAGGAGGAGGAGGAGAACCCGGAGGGAAGTCATTCCCAAAATCTGTAAGGAGAGCTTGGGTGGGGTGTCATAGGCTTGTTTATTTTGTACTTCTTGGGAAGAGATGGGGGGTGGGAGGGTGGGTGGTGTGTAAATGTTTTTGTATCCGGGCCTGGGATTTTTTTTTTTTTTTTTCGGAAGAACAGTGTGTTTGACCCCAGGAGCGGTTGGAGGAAGTGGCAGGGAATGCCGCTGAACTGTTTTCAGGGTTAAAACAAAACAAGAGGCGAGTGTTTTTAGGCGCAGAATACACATGCGAGACAGACGGAGCTGAGTTCTTCAACCTCAGTTTTGTCTGATGGGCTTCTTTTTTTTTTTTAGTTGTAAGAGTGTCTCGTGGTATGTTTGCAGAGCACTTTTTCGGAAAGCATTTTTGCCTTTGCGATAGCTCTGAAAAAAGCCTTGGTCGTGTGTGCTGTTTTTCCCAGTCCCTTCGTGTTAGGGACAAAAAACCCGTGGTTTTGGGGGAGTGGGGAGGGAAGAAGGAAGAGGAAATGAAGATTGTAAGCATGTTTGCTGTATGTGGAGTCGGGTATATCTCAATTTGTTTTCCAGCTCAGGTAGCATTAGGAGTAGGGGCAAGTGGCTTTTAAGTACAAAATGTACATGAACAGACGCTGCAAGGATTTAAACTTTCTAGGGAGGAAAGTGTTAAACCGATGGCCAGGGCACGTGTTTGAGAGCACTGTCGGAGAAAATCTGATAGACGCTAGCTACGTGCCCCTGCTTCAAACTGATGGGCATGGAGAAAAAAAAAAAAACTGGAGGAAAAAAACCCCTACAATTTGCATGAATGATACCATGTAAAATATATCGTATCGGAGAGAGGAATTGTGCTCTGCAGACGGTTTGTGGGCTGGCAAAGCCCTGAAGTGCCTGCTTTCGTCCCGTGATATGACTAGCTCATTTCTGCAGGGCTCATCAGGTACAGACTCTGCTTCCTTCCTGGGATGGTGCAGCTGGCATTTGATTTCCTCCATGGATGGGAGAGGAGGAGTCCTGTGCAGTTTTTTTCCCCGAGATGATTGCATTTTCTTTGGCCTTGCTGTACCCTGCCTCATTAGTAGGAACTGCATCTATATTTATTTACCATTATACCATGTCCCTTGGGATGTCGGGTGTAGTTTGGAGTAGGTATATATGGATTTATCACTCTTCACATTTTTTTTTCTCCCATCATGCTAGGACCAAATCCGTCAACAGCAGAGAACAAACTTAATTTATTTCTGTGTTTTGCGTCTCCCTTTTTGCCATTTCTCTTCCAAATTGCAAAGAAAGCATCTCCAAGATGCGGATGGGGGAGGGAAGTAGGGGAGAAGTGAGAGAGGGATGGAATATGTTATCTGTGCAGGGATGCATTTGTTATCTGCATGTTCCGGGAGCACTGGGTTCTGTGAAAGAGCAGAGCTTGACACTGCTCCTGAAAATTGGGGTTTGAAAATGCTCTTTTCCCCTATGTGAGGATTCTTCTTCAGCCCTACGACAACCCCAACTTTTTCTCTGTGGTTGACAGATTGTCTGACGAGCCTGGGCATGAGACTAGGAACAAGGAACTTGTGTTTTACTCAGTGATGTCTGTTCTTCCTCCTGTTGTTCCTTTAGCACCAGTGCAAGCACCAGAACAGGCATCAGCATTTTTACTCCTGTGTCATCCAACTGTTCAGAGCAGGTCTAGACGACATTATGGTATGCAGACTGCCAGCTGTGTTATAGGAATGCTACCATAGGTGAAACTACAGGATTTTAAAAGAGTGGTAAGGAAATTTGGAAGAAAATCCTGTGTGGATGAGGCCTGCTTATCTCTATTACTACTCTACTGAGCCGTCTTGAGCAATTCCTTTCTATTTGTTGACCTTTCTAGAAAACGTGCACCTCTAGCATTGTGATTCTGATAATTCCACAGAATTAGTAACCAGTGTCAGCTGCAGAAAGCTGACTTCTAAGGCAGTTTCTGTGTGGGTCTTACCGGTCTCTTTCAAAAAGATATTAAAAGTTCATGTCTGTCCAGTGTTTTGAAAATTAAATGATTATGAAGTGTTTGCTTTATAGTGATAATCCATAAATTCATGCAAGTGATTGGTATGTTTTTTCATCAGTATCTCAAGTGGTGAAAACAGTGGGGTTCTGACATTCACTTTTTAACATTATTTTAATAAAAAGACTTTTTAATAAGTGTGAATTTCAGGAATTGTTCTATCATTAACTTTTGGGACTGCTTTTTTTGTTGCATGTCCGTGGGGTAGTGATGAGATTTGGCTTTTTAGGATATGATGTTTGGATGGGGAATTGGAAGAATTAATAAAACTGAAACATGAGGAAGGAAGAACACTGTACTGTCCCTTTCATAAAGGAATCTCAGAAGGTTTTTGGTTATATATGTTAGAAAACAATCCAATTTGTGTGAAATGACAGCGCTTTTTAATCTAAAGCAAGCAAGTTGTGCTATACAGTGATTTCTGTGCAGAGCTTTTAGGGACACTACAGAATTACATATTACAGTGTTGGGATCTATGGCAAATATTTTTCAGCTTCTGCAAAGTTTAGGATTTGAAATCAAACACTTGAAGGGATAGTGTCAGCTTAATAGCCTCCTGCAAAACCGTATGCCTTCATTTCTCCTGTCGATAACTTTATGCAGCTTTGACACTTCTAAAGTAACTGAAGTCGATTTTACTTTATACCGATTTGAATGAAGCAGGCATTGGATTCTGCATGCATGTCCTCGTGGGATTGGTTTTTAATTATACCTGTGCTGATAATATTATCTTGTGGGTTATAAAAGAAGTGAGACCAATGTCATGATTATTGTGGGGTTTTCAGGAGATAATGAGGAGATGCTGAGGTTTTTTTGGTCTAACTCATATCCCTAAAGCTGGTTTTAGTCATAAGATTAGTAATAAACTGTATTTTAGCATTCTAATATTCGTGTATTGACTAAAGCTCCCTTCTGATGTATAAAATTAGGATGGCTGGGTAGCTGAGTATACCAAGCGTTCGTATTTGAACACTCAGTCATGCAAACAGATTGTATGTTAGCTATGAATGCAATTTCCAGTGTTAATGCTAAAGATAAGTGTTTTGACAAATGCTTTTAATTTGGGGAAGAATACAAGCAAGAATAACAGGATATGAAAAGAAAGTGTTATTTTTCATTTTGCAGGTGGCAAATCAAGGTGTAGAGGGATTAACTTGCCCAGGTTCCTACATGGAGTCTGCAGCAGAACTAGTAATCAGTCTGTGACCTCAAGGGTTTGTCAGGGCCTTAATCAGAGTTTTTCTTCCTTGTCTCCTTAATTGGCTAATTTCCACATTTTGAAAATAACGTCTAGAAATTATTTTTTTGTCCTTCAGTTTCAAACTTCATAGCCTGAAGTTTTTTCATTTTCAGTCAGGCCTTGAAAAGCCAAGGCTGGAAAGCTTTGTCTGAACAGCACCTCCCTGACATATGATACTATCTTGAAACAGCCTCTGACAAGTGAACCCTCTCATTGAAATCATGTGAGGAATTTTATTACTCAACTCTGAAGATCTTCTGGGGGAAAGGAGGTTGCAAACTATTAACTATGTGGTCTTCATTGCAAGTTGGCACATAAAATGTTCTTATGCATTGAGGCAGTCATGAGGTCCGCAGCAAGAAGTAGAGATTCAGCTTTGTAGTTGCTGGCCAACTGAAAATTTCATCTTGTAACTGTGAGAAACACATTTATTTTTGTACTATGCCTCCTAAAAAGAGAGATATTTGCTTGAAAGCTTTCTTTAAACATGGTATTGTTTTCCTTCCTCTCTCCTCCCACTCTGCTAGGTGCTTATACAGGGTTAGCCCGTGACCAGAAAAGCAT